TAAACTGAAAATGTATTTCCCAATAATACTTACCTCCGCTGACACTTATAGCTAGCTATTCCTCAATGTTGGCTTTACTTATCTAAGCATTGGTCCCGCATGCTCCAGTCTTTTATACCCCCACTTAAATGCCCCTAGCAATATCTAATTTGCAGATCCCTCCACCCACATCAATGCATCTTTTTTCTTGTTCTATGTGTAATCTCTTTAATCAGATAATGTAATCACTTTTTCTAGACTTACATCATCCCAGTCACTAACACATCGGCTCTTAGTAGGGAGAAAGGGCGGGGGAGTGTCAGCAGAAGTAAGTATCATTGGAAATACATTTTCAGTTTAGGAAAATGTTAACTTCCAAAACATACTTATCTCCACTGCCACTTATAGCTAACTATTCCTTGACATTGGATGTACCTATCTAAGCATTGGTCTTGCATGCTCCATCTACAGTTTTTATATCCCACTTAAATGTCCTTGGCAATATCTAATTGCAAATCCCTTACCCATGTCAATGCACCCTTTATCCTGGTAATGTATATAAGCTAGAATCTCACATTGAAAAGGTGGAGAGGCCAGTGCAGGCATCATCCATACAGAAAGCATCCGAATAGAACAGGTATGCTCTTCACCCGGAACTTAGTACCTGCATCATGAGTGGAATAGTACATGAGTATTCATTATAGGCCAGCCCCAACCAGATAGCCGAGGTTCCACAACTCTGGGTTGGAATTAAGGGGTCTTGGTCCATATATCCCACATTGTTGACCAGGGCAATTGGACCACAATTTATATTATATAAAGATATACTTGTGATTTGATCCCAACCTGTAGCCATAGAGTGATGCATTCCGAGCCACCGGAATTACGATGAGAGAGGAAGCAATACTGAAGAGGACAAACTTTCTCTTCCACCTGAAGAAGTCTGAAAGGCATTACCCCAGGCTCGAAAAGACAGGATCATGTATGCATTACTCAACCAAAGGAATAGAACTCATCTGGTCTGTAATTATGAACATTCATCCTCACTCCCCAACCGATTGGTCAAGGAGCATTCCACTTGCACCCAGAATTATGGAGAGGATGTGGAACACTGTGCTCAACCAAGGACCTAGGATGGGATCACTTTGCATTCAGAATTATGAGGAGATAGTGGACCTCCTTCCTTGATCAATGTCTGTTTAATATATTGCACACACCAACTGGATAGCTACATCTGGAGAAAACATCCAGAGAACCAGGAAGGTGGGCCCCCAACTTTGCCTTCTGGAGGAACACACTCTAACACTCTGGAGGAAAAGCCTCTGTCCACAAACCCAGTGACTGGAAACTGGGTGTGGCAAGGACCCCCTAGCTCCACTAGTAGAATCTGGGGGGTAATTATGTTGGGGAATTCTGAAGAAGTGCTCTGGAAACAGTGTAATAGGTGAACCAAGTTCCCTAAATTTTTAAAATCAAACCAACCCTGATTTATTCAATCTGATGATCGGCAGAGAGAGGCAGAATTCCCTTTAGCTTTACTCATGATAGTCCATGAGTGGTAGTTCATGATAATATGGTAATACCATCTGGTAAGCACCTTGTGGTCTTATTGAACACCTCATTTCAACAAAGCCTGTTGCAACCAGAAGTAAGTATAGCCAAATTTGTGGCTATTGTAGAATTGGATTTATAAAAGCACACCTGTCTGGGCAATACTCGCCACAGAGCGGGATCCGGTGAAAGCAAGATGTAAGGGACCCTGGAAAATAAAGAGACAAGATGATGGCAAAAATACACCCTCTTTCTTATAATCTAACAGATGTTGTTAAAATGGCCATGGGGAGTAGTGGAAAATCCCCAGATCATGTAAAGAATGTGAGAGAAAAGCATTGGGTGAAGTCCACATACTGACCCGTAAAATGCCCCCTAGTGGATAAATGAAATGGAAAGCAAAAGACACAAATGTGCTGAATCTGATGAGATGTAACTCTCAAAAGATTCCTCACTTGTAAAATTCAGAATATGCAATATGAATATTTACAAAGCCACCTCTAAGGAAACAGATAAATCTTGAGAAACCGAAGGATCCCAATAAATACAGAGTCGAGACTATCACCACAAAATGACTTAGACTGAGCCACATAACACCTCTGGGCCTGACAGGACAAAACAAATGATCATTAATCAATTGCAAAGGTGAGAAATAAATTGTTGAGAGGGATGTATCCCTTTTCCTGGTTACCAGAGACTATCAGGGTATAGCAGGGCCTAAGGGGAGAGATAAAAGAGTCCTACAAACATGCTAACAACTCCAACCTATGACATCAGTATGCCAGCAGCAACAAAACTACCCATAAAAAGGAATGGATGATTTATGGTACACAACTCTAAAGGCTTGAATGGTTGTCGAGACAAGGCATGTAATACCACCCTAATATCCAGGTTAAGTTATTGAAAAGGCTGTTTGGGAAGAAGGCTGGATAGCACGGGGGATTCCAAAACCTTCAGATGTTTAGAATAACTAAGAGTAGTTGAAAAAGTTGTCTGACTTAAAGAACAGGAGACAAAGCTAGACCCAAGTAAAAAACCAGGTCAAAACAAGATATGATAAGCATGTTTGATAAAGTGTGTGCAAACTCCTTGTGAGGCACACCTCAGGCAACTTTAGACATTAAACCCCAATGAGCTTGGAAATGTCTTGATGTAGAACATGGGATTGAAGATGCTTCAATAAAGATAGCCAAAGAGGAAGATGCAGAGGTGGACTCACTTGATGATACTGCAGAAGAGGAAATCATGGTTAGGCTGGCCAATCTGGGGCTAGCAACAGCTCACAAGTAGAGAATTGAAACATAACCAGAACTCTGAGTAACAGATGAACTGGGGGAAAGGCATAGATGTGTAATCCCATCCAAGCAGAACTGAATTCATCTACCATCCAAGCCTGAGGATGAGGTTCTGGAGACTCCAAAGCTTGTAGTTGAGAGTGTCAATGAGTGGCAAAAGCTATTGGAAAACCTCACAACAGAAAATCCATTTGATCAGGAGAAAGTGAGGGCTTAGACTGACAATCTGCTAAGAAATTCATTACCTCAGGAAAATGGCAAGCCAGGAGGATAATATGAGAGAGAACTAAATTTCGAAAACAACAGCAACAAGAACACATCTCCATGACAAGAAATTTAAGAAACCATTGTGGAATTGATGAAATGTCTCATGAGGATGTTCCTCTACAAGAGATCTAGACCTTGCAATAGTGCCTGTTGGACAGCAAAAAAGATCTAAATTATTGATGCAGAATGAAAATTCATACTTCATTCATATACCCTGGATTAGCTGACCTATTATATGAATGCCTCATCCCTGAAGTGAAATATCTGTGAAGAGATACACTCAGGACAGAGGGGCAATATACACTTACACCCAGACACAAACATATATACATACATATATATAAAGAGAGAGACATACATACTAATTGTAGGGTTGATCCAAACCAACCACCACTCAAAATTAAGATATTGCTCCTGATGAAAGAGACTGGAAGATCCAGTGGATTGAAGTTCAAGATCCATTAGTTGCAGTGCAACTACTGAAGGGATAGCATGTGTCCTCATCCCAAAAAAATCAGAGTCAGTAGAAGACCTCATTTGTTCGCAAATTTATGTGCGAACCATTGATAGGCTGTCAACAATTTAGGGGGAAGAAACATCATGGAGCAAGAGTGAGAATCAAACAAACATAAGAAAATATGATCAGTTCAAAGTGATTATATGAACCATCCTGGAGCCCACATATAAAAAAAAAAACAATTTTAGTCTGTGGAATCAAAATATACGTCCATCAGGAAGTGGAAACCCAAACCATGCATATAGACATATGAGTATACAAAGTCTATCTATCCCATCACATAATAAAGCAATAACTCTCCCAGCATGAACTAGGAATATCAGGTGAAAGAGGAAAAACTAAATAGTCCCTCCTTCCCGACCTTTCCACCAACAAGAGAGGAGTAGACTAAAAGGGTACAGAGAAAATCCCAAAATCTCACAAACCCAAGTAACTAATTGAAGAAAAGGAGTGGGAGATGATTGATCCAAATTGGACTTCTGAGAAGCTGACGTAGTAAAGAAAGGCATCAGAAAAACAGAGTCCAAATTCTCCCCAGAATAACCAGAATCAATAAAAAAGAAGAAACTTCAGAAGCCCCAGGAGAAAACACACCCCGGCCAAATGTATGTCTTAGCTGCTGTACTGATAACGGTAATACGGGAATTCATACCCACAAATATCATGTCCAATTTTTTTGTTATTGTTGTTTTACATTAGAATTAAACAAACTCACAAGGTGATGCAAAAATCACAATCTATAACGGAACGACACACAGCACTTCATCAGAGAAAACCGTGATCACATTATCTGAGTGAGGTGCTTATATGCATTACCAGGATAGAGGGTACATTGACATGGGTAAGGGATTTGCAATTAAATATTGGCACAGGCATTTAAGTGGGGTATAAAAAACTGTTGATGGAGCATGCGAGACCAATGCTTCAGTAGGCAAAGCCAACATCGAGGAATGGTTAGCTATAAGTGGCAGTGGTGGTAGGTATGTTTTGGAATTGTTAATTTTCATAACAGAAAAGGTTAACCATTTTTCCTAGCCTTTACTTCAACTCCTAACATTAACCCATAAATCATGGTGAATGTCAATAAAAGCACACTCTTATCATTATCCAATTTAAACTTCATGAAATAGTTTTTCTGTCTGTGGTTCTAACAGCAGCTTAAAAAGTGATATTCATAGAATCTGATGTTAAAGCAGTATCATCAGATGAAATAGTCTCCTTTCTTAGTTTTCTTTGATGTTATATGTTAATGCTTTCTAGACAGAGTAATAAAACTAAAAAGAGCAACATAAACTTTGGTTTGTTTACATGTCGATTAGAATGACATAAACAAAACCATGAAGGGATCTACCTTAAGCTTGTATAACAGCACTACGGCCTTCAGTACTTACATAATATGGATCTTCAATAATTAGCTCACCCTCAGGATCATATTTTCCAAGCAATTCAAGCTTTGCTGTATACGATCTAGGAGCTATTTCTTTTAAATCGACTAAAAAAAAAAAACAGATATTAACATGGTATACATTTAATCAGTTAACATCATAATATATATTCATGCAGAATTACAATTCTTATTAACAATAAACAATGAAGGTTTAATAAAAGCAATGTAAAATGCATGAGATTTCTAGAAGTTAACAAACATTAAAATGTTTTATCCCCTGGTTATTAAATGACACCACTACAGGGAAAACGTTTCACATTATTTGATCTTACTTGATGTTATTTTCATCCATACCAAACACATAGTCAAAGTTGTTAAAGTCGTCTTCATACACCTAAAATGATAAAGCAAAAAGCTGAAATTACAAATTTAAAATGAAAAATCAAAAGAAAACTTCTATATCATTTAAACAATTTAGTCTGCTACACATTTAGGGACAACCTGATTCTGACTGCAGACAAACAGATTGAGCATAATCTTAACTCATTATTAATTACCACTAAATTGATAAAAGACACTACATACGTAACGATGTGGGGTTTGTGGGATTTAACATCCTGGCTAGTCTGAATGTTATACATCTTTAACTGTGGAATCACTAATGAGGTCCATTTTATATTCATATTTTTAGTAGGATTTGTAGAACTTAGCTATTATAAATTAAATGATACTTCTGACATTAATAATAATTTACAAATGTTTACTGTTCTTTAGTAACCATTGTTTTTGCTTAATGAGTAAATTTATGGCTTGACAAATCACTGCTTTAAAAAAAATCTGTACAACCTTTCAATTTTTCTAGATGTTTATAATATTATCAAAACAAAAAAAGATTACACTTTTCATATTCAAATGTCTGAGAAACAAAAAGAATAATAGTCAGGGGCAAAGTATATTTTTTGTTATTAAGCACAAAGCTGCACAAATTTGTGCTGTGCCCATCACAAGTAGCAAAACCTGATTTTTGGTATTATAAGAGCACAACCTTAACAGAAGGGGAGGAGCAACAGGATAATTCCATAAGTTGTTAAAGCATTATAAAATTAGTTGTCCATAATGAAACAAGCTGAGAGCTAGGGATTTCTTATGCCCCAGAAAGGTGTCGAACGATTTAATATACTCTAAAATTAAACCTGAGATTTTCTTTAACTTCCAATATGTTCACATGAAACTAATATTTTTTTACACAAATCTGCTTTTAAATTGCCCAAGACTACTATCTCAGCCAGTGATGGTTCCAAAAAATACACACATAAGACTAATAGTAACACAAAGAGAAACTTTCATAGTTGCAAGAGTTCAAATGTGGGAGTAATGATATAGCATTGTAAACAGGCATAAAATTATTGGTAGTACACAACATAAAATTCCTTAAAAGTCAGTGGTGTAGTTGCACTACCATGCATTTTTTATGCTACACCCATAATTATGGTATTAAAATCCACAAGACAAAAGCCAATTTAGCCAAACATTCCATTACTCATAAAATCAGGACATTTTCATAGAATAAATTAACAGCAGTGTATAATTTAACAAATTTACAAGTACATCATCAAGTTACCTACATATTTTACAGCTAGTAGTAGCAAAAACAATAGGTCAATAAATTCAAAAATCATTACAAAAATTAAATAAATAAAAATAATGTGTCACAGCCAATTATATGCATAAAAGAGTTACGAAAATATGGCACCATTAGAAAAATATGGCAACAACATTGCAACCAATCTACCTAAACCAAAATGGTAAATTGTTCACCCATTCCTCTTTTCAAGCAGATAGGACTAAAAAAATATTACATACAAATATAATTAAAAGCAGTAACTATATATATATATATATATAATAAAGAAAAAATCCAAACAAAGCTTTCATTTGTACATAATTTTTAACTTACCAGCCTAGCCTTGTGGTTCATTTCAATTCCATATTTCTTCATACAATTTCTAGCTCTTTTATCGGGCTGACAACCAACATGCCAATCTCCAGTAGCAGCACTATCTATCACCCACTGGAAATAACAGTCACTGCTCAGAAAATAAGCTAGATACATTGATACCACAAATAATAAAAACTTAATGAAATAATAACAATATCTTGTATTATGGAATTATTAATATTTAAGCAGTCCTTAATGTCAGTTATGTAAGGATGTTCAAACTGTACTCAAACATTCATTTTCAAAATACATGTACTAGTATGCAAGTTCTGTTTACAGACTATATAAAAAATACAACACTTATCACTTATCGTGAGCCCATAAAATACACTAAAATCAACCCCAATTTCAGCTTAAGCCTAACACTTTCTGAGCACATAAATATACAAAAAATCAATCCCAATTATAACTTACTAAAAATTTTAACACCACTTACTACTTATTCTTATGCAATGATGCAAAGTGATCTAGAAAAAATTTCCAAATGAAAATAGTGATATCTGTATTTTTTGCTTGATCATTATAACCAAAATATATAATTTGAATACCAGGTTAATTTCATCCATTCTATTGTACAGACGAATTATGGATAGTTGCAAAGCAAATGGCATTTATAAATCATGTTCAAATGAAAAACCTTACCAAATTTAAAAACCACATTGATTCTAAAAAAATGTATTTCTTAGCTTCCTTCACTAACTTTTATATATTTAATCAGAATGAGACATGAAAAAGTACATTTAACTAGCTTCCTGACCTCAGCTATGACATACCATCATTTTGTGTAACCAATAACACTAGCTTTTAACCTATTTTTTGGCATTATTTAACAGTTCTTTCTCTATATTTGAAGAAACACAATAGAAATGCTTTTACATTGCTTATACAACTGAAAACACATCAATGATAATAAAAAATGGTTTGATTATTTATAAACAACTTTAGTTTTCCTTTATCATTTTCCAATGACGATGCATGTTACAGAATTTAGCTCATCTTTTCAAATTAAAAAACATCTACCACCTGGGTAGGCGGTCATGAAGGAAAAACTAAAAAAGAACAAAAACAGTCTAGTTCAAAACAAAAAGAAAAATTATAAGCAATATAATGCAACAAGATTTCATGTTAACAATATAATTCATGAATCATCCAAAATAAAAACAGTATTTTTTGAAAACTGTGCTTTTATTTCATTTTAAAACTGTCTCACTAGTGGTAAAAAAACTAATTTAGCAAAAATTTTCATTCTTACCCCAATTAGAACTACCTCAAAATAAACATGATTAAACCATTATTCATTCTATTACAAAAAACCACCTTTACTAATCAAATAAATATATATATATATATATATATATATATATATATATTGTTTACATACTTACCTTAAGTAATTAACGTAAACCTAAGTAAAGTTATTAAGCTAGTACTCGT